ATTTGCCTTGCATAAATTCCTCATAGAAAAATAGTGTGAGGACTGTTGGACTTCACTCTTAGGCTGGTTAGCCTAAGATACATTGACCTTTCAGTGGGCATGCAGAATTCATTTCCACAGCTCTAACCACACCAATTCTTGCTAACTTTGCTGAAAGTCCTACCTTTGATGCTCTGACTGACTTAAATGAACTTATCACACCAACTGTAATAGTCCTTTTTGCATTCATCTCCCCCCCTCCCCCACTTACCAACATCTGAACATGTATCCTTTTACACATCCCTACCTGAAGCATAGGCCTTTTTTGGTACAGTGCTCAATTTCATTATCCCATCCCCCTCACATGGAGGTGGAAGGGATGAACCTACTCTGTTCACCCTTCCCTCTTCAAGGGGGGCTCCTTGGCGTGGTGAAGAGGCTCTTGGTCTGAGGAATTAGCCCTGTCGGTCTTCTTCCTCAGACCGAACCTAATTACCCCCCATTCTCCCCTCCCCTATCCCATCCTCCCCATCCACCCCTTTTTCCATTCCTCCTCCTCCTCCCCACCCCTCCCTTTTGCCCTTCCTCTTTTTGGCCTTTCTCCCACAGGCGCGCTAGTTCCTAGGTAGGGGAAAGGACACCGGGGTCCATCCCATTCCGTTGAGGTTCTTGGCAGTGGCGTAGTTTGCCGTGGAATCTGGATTGCCTGGGGATGTCCCGATCCCTCTCCGGTATCCCGGAGTAGCTTTGGGTGTCTTTCAGGCGACGGGTGTATCTCTGGAAGCCACCTTTCGGATTCCGGGGGTGGTGGACAAAGGAGGTATGCTTTGTGGCGGATATCCGGCCGCCCTCTCTTTTGTCCACCGAGGTAGCTCGGCAGATGTGAGGTTGCTATCCCGGATTGCTGGTTTACTGGCATGAAGGGTAGGGTATGGCACGGGTTCCATGCTGCATCTGCGCTACTAGCGGTGCTGAGGTCCTCTTGGGCGCGGAGGGAGATTTCCGGCCCTTTCATTCCATCCTGGGAACTATTCCTCCCTGCTCCCCCTTTTTTTATTTTTTTTTTTTTTATTTTTATTTTCTTTGCTTTTTGTTTTTAAGAAAAAAAAAAGAAAGAAGTAACCTAACCATGGCAGCCCTAGTCCATGAACCCACTACCCCCGGGCCCCTTCTTGATACCGCACCCCATTCTGACCCTGCCTTGTGTTTAGACCACTCTTCGGACACTCCTGATGCCCCTGTACCTCTTGCTGGTGCTGTTTCCTCACCCGCTTCAGGTACCAGGGCTTCGACTGACTCTTTCGATTTGTCTGAACTCCGCTCTCCTTTGACTATGCTTCCGGCTTCTCCCTCTACGGTACGGCAATTTTTGAATCCCCCGCCCATTTCACGCCGGACCAACTCCGGTCCTACTCCTAAACGCCAACGTCAATCTCCTGATGATGCTCCTTCGTTACCTTCCCATTCTACTCGGAAAAGACCGACACGTCAAGCACTCCCTCTCCACGCTCAGTTTCGGACCACACAATGGACTAAATTCTTTACTTTAAGACCGACTTCTTCTTCTGCTTACCTTTCTGACCATAGTATTGGCAAAGCGCTCCTGCATCATGTTGGTAGAGATATTTCCTTTTGTGCTCTCAAGAGCGGTATGTGCATCGTCACTGTCCAGAATGCTACCCAAGCTCATGATCTTTCTCTCCTTTCGAAAATCGATACTACTCCTATCACTATTGAAAAACATCTTTCTCTCAATTCTTGTAGTGGTACTGTCATTCTGCCCCATACCATAGTCCAACAGAATTTCCAGTCATGTGGCAATGACATTTTTGAACAGCTGGAACTCCAGGATCTCCCAATCCTCAAAGTAGACACTTATGTCCTTCCTGCCCGGGGGCGGAGACGTTACCCTTGCAGTGTGGCTCGTTTAACTTTTGACAGCCGAGAACTCCCGTCCTCTGTATGTGTCGCGGGACATCGGTTACAAGTTCGAAAGGTGATACCTACACCACAACAATGTAGAAATTGCTGGCGTTTTGGTCACCCAGCGAAATATTGCAGATCTATGGCCGAATGCCCAGTCTGTGGCGCTGACGACCATTCTAATACATCTTGCAGTCAACCTCCATCTTGCCTTAATTGTAATGAAGCTCACCCTTCGTACTCCCGCCGTTGCCAGGTCTACTTAAATGAACGTGAAATCCGTTGCCTCAAAGAGGCAGAAGGTCTCCTTATGCTATGGCAGTTACTCATCTCCGCCTCCAAGGGAGACTACCCCGTGTTTCTTATTCTCGTGTTTCCAAACATCCCCCCATTTCTGGGTCCATCTTCTGCAGCCTCCTCTGTTGTTACCCCTCCCATAGCCACTACGGCATCTAATCCTTTTGCTGTCCTTGGCTCTGACGTCCCGACTACAACTCAGTCTGTTCTCACATATCGCGTCCTTCCTCACAAGCCCCAGTATCGACAAGACCTCGTACGACACCTAATACCAATCGCCCCTCTACTCAGAAGTCCAAAAAATCCACATTGCTCAAATCTTCTTTGCCCCTTCCTTCCCTTCTTCCACCTCCACACTTTACCTTTCCAGTCTCTGTACCTAGTTCTTCCCCTCTCTCTGGCTCTATACGAGTGTGGAGATTCACCCTCCTCCTCGTACTATGCCTTCTCCACCCCCGTCCCCTCCCAAGTTTCTCCCTCTTCTGCCACCTCCCAGGTTTCTGCCTCTTCTGTCCCCCCCCACACTTCATCTCCAGTCCCTTACACTCTTCCCTTCCCCTCTACTTTGGTACAGTCCATTACTGTCCCAATCTTTACTCACCCTCCTCCTTCTATCTCCAATATGGTCTCCCATACATCTTTGAATTCAGAAACACTTGAAGCCATTTCAGAATATATTGCAGAGACTAAACCTTCAATGGACACTGATTCACTTCCTGTTCCTTCTCTTCCCTCTCCTCCATCTTCACAACCCCATTCTTCGCAACGCTCCGTTCCTTCGCTACTTGAACGTCTTCCAATGCCACCACACGTTGACTTTTCTAACCCCTCTAGTCCGTAGGTGCCTTTACCTACAGATTCCTGATATTTTCTTCATCGCCATCATGGCCTATTTACAGTGGAATATCCGCGGCCTCAGGGTAATCGGGTGAGCTTCAGATGTTGTTTTCCAGGTTTTCCCCTGTTGGTGCTTGCTTACAAGAACCAAAATTACACTCGGCTGTTTTCCAACCTATCTCAGGCTATAATTTATTGTATTCTTCGGATCCTTTCTCAGATGGGACCTTAATGAAAGTGCCCTTCTTCTACGCAATGATATTCCGTACTGTCAACTATTTGTCCATACCTCGCTGCATTACACTGCAGCCCGTATCCACTTGAATAAGTGGTTTACAATATGTTCTTTATATCTCTCCTTCTCGGGCATTTTCTATCCCAGACTTTGCCTTTCTTGTTTCATCCTTACCGCCACCACTTCTGTTACTTGGTGATTTTAATGCCCACCATTTCCTCTGGGGGGGGGGGGTCTCATTGTGACTCACGTGGCATCCAGTTGGAGGCTTTTCTCGCCTCTCACCCCCTCCATGTTTTAAATACGGGTACTCCCACCCATTTTGATCCTCGTACTCATACTCTCTCGTGCATCGATCTATCAGTCTGCTCTTCCTCCACTGCACTAGACTTCACCTGGTCTGTTCTACCAGACTTACATGACAGCGATCATTTTCCGATCATTCTTACTTCTCCTTCCTATTCACCACCTTTCGTAGCCCTCGCTGGCAATTTGATCGGGCAAATTGGGATCTTTACTCACACCTCACTGCTTTTAGTGAGGTTCCTTCTTCATCCTCCATTGATGAGCTCCTACACATCTTCTCGACGTCAGTTTATACCGCAGCTTCTCATTCTATACCCCAAACCTCAGGCAGGCATTCTCAGAAGTGCGTGCCTTGGTGGTCTCCTGCTTGTGCTCGTGCAGTACGTTTGAAACGTGCTGCATGGGGCAGGTACCGGTACAATAGAACCGCTGAGAGACTTCTTGATTTTAAGCAGAAGCGTGCGATCGCTCGCCGTGTCATCCGTGAAGCTAAACGCACTTGTTGGCGAGACTGTTTCCACCATCACCTCTGCTTCTTCTATGAGTGCAGTCTGGAAAAAAGTGAGGAAATTGAGTGGTAAATACTCTCCTGACCCGGCTCCTGTTCTACGGGTCGCTGGTGTTGATGTAGCAAACCCTCTCGACGTTGCCATTGAACTTGGCACACATCTGGTCCGTATTTCCCGAGGGCTCCATCTATGCCCCTCGTTTCTTTCCTCAAAGTCTGCCAGAGAGTTAGTACCCTTGGACTTTTCTTCTCTCAGAGAAGAACAGTATAATGTGCCTTTTACACTTCAAGAACTGGAGGCCACGCTCTCAGCTTGCCGATCATCGGCAGCTGGGCCTGACGACATTCATATTCGTATGTTACAACATTTACATCGGTCAGCCCTTGTAGTCCTCTTACACCTCTTCAATCTTATTTGGGCACAAGGAGTTCTTCCCCAGCTGTGGAAATCTGCCATTGTTCTCCCTTTCCGCAAACCAGGTACTACAGGACACGATGCCTCCCACTATCGCCCCATCGCTCTTACTAGTGCAGTTTGCAGAGTGATGGAACATCTCGTAAATCGACGTTTAATGTGGTATTTAGAGACACACAACAGTCTCTCCGCTAGTCAATATGGCTTTCGTAAGGGGTCGTTCTACCATAGACCCCTTACTATGCTTGGATACGTATGTTCGTAATGCCTTTGCGAATAATCACTCGGTTATTGCCATATTTCTTGACCTTGAGAAGGCATATGACAACTTGGAGGTATAATATTTTGGCCCAGGCCCATTCCTTAGGCCTCCGAGGCAATCTACCATCCTTCCTTAAGAACTTTTTAACTGACAGACATTTCCGTGTTTGAGTCAATAATGTTCTTTCCCCGGACTTCGTCCAAGCTGAAGGTGTCCCTCAGGGATGTGTTCTAAGAACAACACTTTTTCTCCTTTCTATAAATGATTTGGCCTCTGTTCTTCCACCCAATATTTGGTCATCACTCTATGTTGATGACTTCGCTATTGCTTGTGCAGGCGCTGACTGTCACCTTATTGCAGTTTCTCTCCAGCATGCGGTCGACCGTGTTTCCACTTGGGCCACCACGCATGGGTTTAAATTTTCAAGTACTAAAACTCACCAAATTACTTTCACTAGACGCTTTATCTCCGATCATCCTTTGTATCTCTATGGCTCCCGTATCCCCGAACGTGATAGTCAGGTTTCTAGGCCTTCTCTTTGACTGTCGGTTATCCTGGAAACCTCACATTACCTCTCTGAAGGCAACTTGTCACAGCCGGCTAAACCTTCTTAAAACTCTTGCTCGTCTTTCCTGGGGAGCTGATCGTCGAACTCTGCTTCGCCTACATTCAGCCCTCGTTTTATCGAAACTATTATGGTGACCAGATTTATTCCGCGGCCTCTCCTGCTACTCTCTCTAGCCTTAACTCTATCCATCACCAAGGATTACGTTTGTGCTTTGGTGCTTTTTGCTCTTCCCCTGTTGAGAGCCTCTATACAGAAGCGAATGTTCCATCCTTGTCTGATCGCTGTGATGCCCATTGCCTTCGCTACTATGTACGCTCTCACGATCTACACAATCCTTCCATTTATAGAATGGTCACCGATATTAGTAGACATTCTTTATTCGTTCGCCGCCCCTGTTTGCTCCGTCCCTTTTCTCTTCGCCTACATTCACTCTTGTCTTCCCTTCAGTTACCACCTTTATATGTTCATGTAGCATCTCACTTTTCCTATCCCCCCTGGGAAGTTCCAGCTGTTCGGGTCTGTTCTTTCTCACTCCCTTGCTCGAAAGCTCAACTGCCTACGGTGGCTTCCCGCTCTCTTTTTCTTGATCACTTCCACTCCCATTCTCATGCCACCGCTGTGTACACAGATGGCTCTAAGTCTTCAGACGGCGTTGGATTCGCAGCAGTGTTTCCGGACAGCGTCGTGCGGGGGCATTTACTATCTTCAGCTATCATTTTTACTGCTGAACTGTATGCCATTCTTGCAGCACTTATTCGTATCGCATCTATGCCTGTGTCATCATTTGTAGTAGTCTCAGACTCCCTTAGTGCTCTACAAGCTATACGAAAATTTGATACATCTCACCCCCTAGTTCTCCGTATCCAACTTTGGCTACGCCGTATCTCTACCAAACAAAGATATTGTTTTTTGTTGGGTCCCTGGTCATGTCGACGTACAGGGCAATGAACAGGCAGACACTGCTACGTGGTCAGCAGTACATGACCTACCGATTTCCTATCAAGGTGTTCCATTTCCGGACTATTTTGCTGCAATAGCTACCCACCTTCGCACCCGTTGGCAACAACGTTGGTCAACTCTGCTCGGTAACAAACTTCATTCTATTAAACCGAGCATAGGTTACTGGCCGTCTTCTTGTCATCAGTGCCAAGTTCCAGTATCGATTAGCCACATTCTGTTAGACTGCCCCCTCTATCAACGAGCACGCAGAATTTACCTCCAACGCCGTCTTCGTTCTACTACTCTCTCTTTACCTTCCCTTCTTGCTGATGGACCCTCCTTTAATCCTGACTCTCTCATTGACTTCTTGACAACGACTGATTTACTCCACAAACTCTGATGATACTTTTCGCACTCCCCTCAGCCCTTTCTAGTTCAGTCTCTTGCTGCCCTTTACCCTTTCACCATCCACTACCCCGCTGTTATCCGTAACCTATTACTCATCCATCTCCCTTTTGCCACCTGATGCCCTCGCTTCCTTCCTGCCCTGCAGCGCTGTATAGTCCTTGTGGCTTAGCGCTTCTTTTTGATTATAATAATAATGTTCACCCTTCAAGGTGCCTTGATACTAAGGTCCTCTTGATCCAACAAATTGGGGATGATCCCTCTTCATATTAAACCCAATTACTCTTCCACTTTGACCTTCATGGGCTTGCTTCCCCACAACAAAAAGTTCATTACACCTAAACTGTACCATACTACTGCTGTATAATCCTCCGGGTTTAGCGCTTCCCCCATGATTATAATAATAATATAATGTACCATACTACTGATGATGATTGGTGGATGTCACCATTGTTGCTGATGCTAACAGGAGTAACACTAGAGTAACTTGCATGGGTCACATGGGCAAATACACAATCAAAAGCAGTAAAATTTAATATAATTGGGGGAAAAAAAAAAAAGAGAAATTCATAGGCATCATACAGAGCATTTGAGGAAATTGATTCAGTCCATGTAAGGGGAGGTTAAACCCACTTCCTTATATAGAGCCCTTAACTGGCATCAAGGTACCTCACTTGATTACCATAATTATATACTAGATAAAAGGATCTTGATCCAAGGAATGTTTTAAATCTTCTTGGGATCAAAACTGATTACCTCCTCCCAACATAGCATAACTCCTATGGGGGTTAGCACTTTCCTCCTGAGCAATATGTATAATCCCCAGGTGCTGTATGACCCCTATGGGTTTAACACTCCATAACTAACAATTCATGATCAAGAAAACCATAACATAACCAATAACAACTTAATAACCTGACTAAACAAGTGATATAATAATATAACTTTAGCTATTTGTCACTTAATCTTGGTTACCCTGAAAGCAGAGCTAATCTTCCTTGGTTGGCTTAGTGCTTCTTTTTGATTATAATAATAATAATCTTCCTTGGATTAAACCTAATTACTTCCAAGTGCTGTATGACCCTCCCCTGAGCTAATGCTTCATGTCATTGTAGATAAACAAATCTAAATTTAGTTTTTTGTTGCTTTTGTATAAACAAATACCATTGTGACGTAGTGGGTGGGGTCGAGCTCAACAGCCTTAGTCCTAAGATTCGAAGGCCGTAAATGGGTGGAATTCACTCAATTTGAAACTTCGAACAGAGGTGGCTGGGGGAGAAGTGGGGTAGGAAGGTGCTGGCAGGTTGGAATGGGTGGGTGAACCATAGAGGACTGATGCTCCACACTTCGTCACCTGCATCTTCTGCACTCGAGTGGTGGTGACCCTCACTGTCTGCTCGTCAACCTGTGTCTTCGTCTGTGTCAAGACTTTAGTTTCTAAAACAGTCTTGTAGGTCGACGTTACCACCTGCAAGAGGAGGAAAGTTAGTATACCTTTAAAGTTTTTCTTTAATTTGCAGGCTGGTGTTTTGGTCACTAATCTGGCAAGTGAAGAAACCAGCAGCCAACCTTTAAGCATATCATGCACTACTCTTAAGAAGTGCTTGAAGCTGGTGAAGGGCTCTTGGTATAAAGGAAATGAACAGCTTCCCCTGAATTGGATGTAATCTGATTACCTTTCATTACCCAAGCACTGTAATAAAAATCAAGCACTAAACCCACAAGGGTTGTACAGCACTGCAAACCATGCACTGCATAATTTACAGGTTTAGCACTTCACAAACTAATTTCAATGTTCTAAGCTCTTAAGGCTCATATAGCCTGCAGAATGAGCGAGTTTGGTTTGGTCAAAGGAAAGGTTTCTATTCCTTGGATAACATGAAACCCCTGTTTTTCCTCCACCACCTTGGAGGACACCTTTTATTGACACTTTTGGTTCTTGGACCTACACGTATTTGAAGTGATCAAGGTACCAGGATCAAAGTTTTAATACGGGTGTCCAAAGTGTAAGTATTCATGTCAAGTTCTCTGCATTTGTCGGCAGTCATTTGCCTTACTACGGTCAAGGGATTACAGAGGCATATAATATTTCCAGGGACTGAGCTGCAACATTTGCTAACAGTGGTGATGAATTGTTAAAACAAGTAACTTAATTCAGAACAAAAGTACAGTGGAACCTAGAGTTTCAAACTTAATCCGTTCCAGGAGCTAGTTCTAAAGTCGAAATATTCGAAAGTCGAACTAATAATTCCCATAAGAAATAATGGAAATACATGTACAATTAATCTGTTCCAGAAACCCAAAAGTATTCACAAAAAAAAAAAAAAAAAAAAAAAAAAAAAATTATAGATTACATAGTTTTACACACTACATACATACATAGTACAATTAGTAATAAATTTAAATAAACATAAAATAACATTTTTACTTACCTTTATTTTAGATTGGTGATGGTATCTAGAAGACAGGAGGAGAGAGGGAGTTGGGGTTAGTGTTTGGAAGGGAAATCCCCCTCCATAAGGACTTTAGGTATCAAAGCCCTCTCTGGGGTTACTTCCCTTCTTTGTCTTTTACTGGCACTAGGACCAGCTTGTGTCACTGGACCCCTGTCCACAGTCCTCTGTTTCTGGTGCCTCTAAGATTTCCCTAAAGTGGGACATGGGTCTGTCACTGAACTTGTTGCAGAGATGGCTTGTTTCAGCTTGCTCAGGGTGGTACTTCTTCATAAACATTTGCACATCATTCCACTTGGCACAAATCTCCTTAATCTGTGAAGAAGGCACCTCATCCACTCCCTCTTCCTCCTCTTAAGCAAGTTCCTGAGCTGTGGTCTGATGCTGTGCCAGATGAAGCTCTTCAGTGGTTAGCTCTTCCCTGTGGTCGTCCACATTCTCTCCACTCTCCTCCAGCCCCAGGGTGTTTCCCAATGCCACAAGAGTGTCCACAACAGGCAGAGGGCCCGCAGGGTCAGGGTCATCCTCAAACCCTTCAAAATCCCTCTGGACGACACACTGGGGCCACAATTGTCTCCAAGCAGAGTCCTGGAAGTCACTCTCCCCAAACCTTACCTATAAGGCTTATGCAGCTGTAGATACTGAGTGATTCCTCCAGAACTCTCTTAGGGTCAACTTAGTGTCTGTGGTTACTTCAAAGCACTTTTCAAACACTGCTTTTTTTTTTTTTAAGTTAGAAATGGCCTGGAGGAGAGCGGTGGTGTTAGTAGGCAAGAACTTCGCTGTGATGAAACTAGTCCCAATTATTATAATCAAAAGAAGTGCTAAGCCACAAGGGCTATACAGCACTAAACTAGTCCCAAGACAGTAGGTCTACCAAGTCTGGAGGATGTGCAGGAGCATTGTCTATTAACAGGAGGTACTGGAGTGTCAAATTATTTTTAGGTATTTTTTCACACTGGGGCCAAACACTTCATGGACCCACTCTTTGAAAATTTGCCTTGTGACCCATGCCTTATAATTTGCTTTCCACAAGACATAACTTGTTCTTTATGACATTGTTTTTCTTAAACACACTGGGATTTTCTGAGTGATACACAAGTAAAGGCATCACTTTAAAATCACCACTAGCGTTAGAACAGAAAAGAGTTAGCCTGTCTTTCATAGGCTTGTGTCCTGGGAGTGCCTTTTCCTTCTGAGTAATGTAGGTCCTCTTCGGCATTTTCTTCCAAAACAGGCCTGTTTCGTCACAACTGAACACTTGTTGGGGTTTCAATTTTTCAGTGTCTTATGTACCCCTTAAACTCCTGTACAAACTTATCAGCCACCCGTTTGAACTGGCTGCCTCACCATGCCTTACAACATTGTCAAACCAGCCTCTGCTGGCCTTGAATTCACTATCAGCACTGGTTCTGGGAGTTTTCTTTATAAGATCAGCATGCAACTTCCTTGCCTTTTCACAAATAATTGTCTCCGAAACACTATCACCTGCCACCTCTTTATCCTTGATCCACACCAGCAGCAACTTCTCAACCTGATCGACTGTCTGTTGTCTATTTTTGGTTAGTATATCAACACCTTTCACAACATCAGCTTCCTTGATTTGTTCTTTCTTTGCCAGGATAGAAGCGATGGTTGACTTGTTTTTGCCGTACATCCTGGTAAGTTCAACAAGTCGCGCATCAATCTCATATTTTTGTATTTCCTTCTGTTTGAATGAGCGTGCAGGTTAGTGTTCACTCAAGCATCAACAAAGCCAGACTGGCTCACCACGCCTGTGCGGGGACACTGACAGAGCAGGCTGGTGGACAGGTCCGGTACCCAGTGGTTCGAAAGATGGGGTGTGGTTGATAATCGGGACAAAATTGGTTTGAAAAATGAGGTTGAAACTTGAAGAGTTCGATAATCGATAAGCTCGAAACTCAGGGTTCCACTGAAGTTTATATTCATGGATTCAGGTACAAAACATTGCATTATAGTGTGTGTGGTTGGTTGAGTTTTTTAAAGAATAATGCAAAACTAGGGTACTCTTCTAGATTGACTAGTCATAAAAGTTCTTAAACATTTATGAATTATCTCTGAATTAGATGTTTTTCACAAACCAGCATACACTGACTCAGTATGTGACAATTTCCCTGGGAATTTTTACATCTGATTCTCTACAATAGCTAGTGGTGCAAACTCCCAGAAGTATCTACTGTACAGCCCAGCCGAACCCAGGTACATCTGCTTATTTTAAGTGCACATAAATGTGACATTAATTGTCTTAGTCATTCAAGGGATGTGCTTTGATGCCACTGAAGAGCTTTTAATAAACAGAATTGGATCTAGCTTTCCCTTTGATCGAATCTTCCTATCCCCAAGCACTGGAGTTTACCTGGAGTACCTGGAGAGAGTTCCGGGGGTCAACGCCCCCGCAACCCGGTCTGTGACCAGGCCTCCTGGTGGATCAGAGCCTGATCAACCAGGCTGTTACTGCTGGCTGCACGCAAACCAACGTACGAGCCACAGCCCGGCTGGTCAGGAACCGACTTTAGGTGCTTGTCCAGTGCCAGCTGGAAGACTGCCAGGGGTCTGTTGGTAATCCCCCTTATGTATGCTGGGAGCAGTTGAACAGTCTCGGGCCCCTGACACTTATTGTATTGTCTCTTAACGTGCTAGTGACACTCCCCATTGGGGGGATGTTGCATCGTCTGCCAAGTCTTTTGCTTTTGTAGCGAGTGATTTTCGTGTGCAAGTTCGGTACTAGTCCCTCTAGGATTTTCCAGGTGTATATAATCATGCATCTCTCCCGCCTGCATTCCAGCGAATACAGGTTTAGGAACCTCAAGCGCTCCCAGTAATTGAGGTGTTTTATCTCCGTTATGCTCGCCGTGAAGGTTCTCTGTACATTTTCTAGGTCGGCAATTTCACCTGCCTTGAAAGGTGCTGTTAGTGTGCAGCAATATTCCAGCCTAGATAGAACAAGTGACCTGAAGAGTGTCATCATGGGCTTGGCCTCCCTAGTTTTGAAGGTTCTCATTATCCATCCTGTCATTTTTCTAGCAGATGCGATTGATACAATGTTATGGTCCTTGAAGGAGATCCTCCGACATGATCACTCCCAGGTCTTTGACGTTGGTGTTTCGCTCTATTTTGTGGCCAGAATTTGTTTTGTACTCTGATGAAGATTTAATTTCCTCGTGTTTACCATATCTGAGTAATTGAAATTTCTCATCGTTGAACTTCATATTGTACTGTATGAACCTAACGCATTTCTTTGAAAAGAAGCATTTCTTAACAGTTTATCACATCCAATAACCCCCCCCCCCCCCTTGTCTTGCCAACCAGATTTAGGTTTGATTCCTGGGTGGAGCTAGTAGTGTGGGCATATCTATTTACTTCTGCTGCCCCAGTTCGCCTATTGTGGGTCTCAACCTAGCAAAGGACCTCTATTACAGTGACTAAGCATTAGTGCGTTTGGCGCACACCTGAAGGACCTGGATTCGAACCTGGAATGAGTAGAAACATTGGTAATTCCTTATGCCTGGTGTCTACCTTAAGTGTGTTCTGAGCGTCGACACCCCTGCAGCTTAGTCCCTAACAAGGCCCAGTCTATGTACTAACCACAGCCTATTTATTGCCTCCCTTAATGTAATAATTGTACCTATTCATCGAGGGTCACATCCTGGGGAAGATCACAAGACCTCTATGGGCTTCCTTGGGTTATCTAACAATGTTGGTCCAATATGCCTCAAACTACATTCTATCAAACCAAATTTAGGTTTCTGGCCTTCTTGTCATCAAGGTTGGGAGACAACGCTCTCCCGTCTCCACATCGGGCACACCCTTCTCACTCGTGGGTATCTCATGGAGTGGCACCCTGTTCCACTCTGAGAATTGTCCAATTTCAATTCTCCATATTCTATTGGGACTGTCCTGTCTATCAACGAGCATGCAGAATTTACCTCTGACGTCGTCACCGCTCTAACACCCTTATTTTATCTTCCCTCCATGCTGATGGCCCCACCTTTGACTCAGACTCCCTCTATGGCTTTTTGACAGCAACTGATTTATTACACAAACTTTTATAATACTTTCTTTAGCACTCCTCACAGCCCTAACTCTACCTCTGTTATCCTCCTCCCTTGTTTATAATACGATTCTGCATCATCCCCCTGCCCTGCAGTGCAGTATGACCCTTATGGGTTTAGCATTTCATTATAATAACTGGGTTATCTAGATAAATAATTTTAATAAATTCATCCTAGGAATAAGCCAAATTACTGTGAGTTACCATTAATAACCCTCCTGGTTAAAATAACTTTAATGATTTATTCTTACCTGCTGTGTCACAGTCGAAGTTTTCATTAGCGTCTCTGTAACGAACTTCGTTTTTGTTTCCATCTGCGTCACTGTGACGTACTGAGTCTGCGTCTGCACCAGCTGGTCGATGATGGTGGAGTACGCTGTCACCACCTTGGTGTTCAGTTGCGTCACAGTGCTGGTGACAGTTACGGTGGGAGCGTAGCATGGTGTGGGAGGCGGGTACTGAGCATCACACACGCCCACAACCACAGCACATGCCGCAACGCACAGCAACGCTACGTTCATCTGCAACCACACACTTCATTACACACCAGGAACATAAAAAAAAATCTTGAAAATTATATTCACAGGCAAGTACTAAACTCGTATGGACCATTCAATAACTAGCCTATGTTAAAAAAGGGCCTAAACCATATGGATTATATTCATAGCTGCGAAATTATTACATTTATCCAGGAACGCTAATTCCGTCTGAGAAATGGGAGTCGATCAGGTTAATTATCCAAGAAAAATGATAATAGTTCCAATTTCTTGGATCAAGAGCATCGAGGCACCTATGAGACAGGACCGAGGAACCTCTATGACCAGTACGGGTTTAGTCCTCTTAAATTTAATAATACAATATGGGCTTCCCAATGGACAATGCCTGTCTCTTCAAGAGGGGAAGTCTTAAGACGAAGGGCTATTAATCCAAGTCGATACAGATTTAGCCTTAAATCATAATTATTATTATTTATTAATCCAAGGAATTGAACCTGTCTTCCATTTTTTTATATGAATCTGAATGCCTCACATTCCCAGTTATATGACCCATATAGATTTAGAGCTCCCCTCCCCAAGAATGTACAAGCAATCATAACTATCCTTTTCATAAAGCTGTATCAGCTCTTAAAATTAATGCCGTTCGGTAAAAGCATACCAAAGCTTTCACGGAAAAAAAAATAGAAATAACATTGGCTTCAACAACAATCCCAATGGGATTATTGTTTGAGTGTGTGGGATACACCAGTGTTGAACGTTTGAAGCCCATGGGCTATGGCTGTAAGTTATAAACGACAACCTTGGAGGAAGAAAACTGTACCAGAGTATATGACCGGCTCTACAATAGTCAAATATTTTTCAGTATTCTCAAAAAGACCCTTAAAAGTAGTGTTGTCATTTTCGTGAATAAATATTAATTCCAATGGAGTTCAATGGACCTCTAACTCTGCACTTGTAAATACAATCAGTATATTAACAGCAGCCGTTTCCCACCAGGACAAATTGATTCAAATACATCTGCTGCCCGTTCACCTAGTAATAGGAAAGGACCTAGTGAAAATAAGTCTCACTAGACATTGTTAAGTTATCCTAGTTAATAACTCTAAAGTGTATCTTCACTTTGCTGGATGAGACGTTTACTGCTGACTACACGTACCTTGTTTGTATCTCAGTAAGGATCTCCTAACTTGTCTTCTGCAAGCTCAAGATCACACATATATAGGAGACTGAAGTAAAGGGAGGGACTTGTCACCTTCACGGGGAGGAGTTGGTGTCATCTGGAGGCGGTCTTCGGACAAAAGGGAGGGGCGAAAGAGGAAAAAGTATCAATATGTGCACACTGCTCGGTTGAGTAGAAGAAAGTAGAAGAGGCGAGAGCGAGACTTGTGGTCAGCAGCTAGGACTCTGTGTACCATGTGAGCCAGCATCTGCGTTTAGCTGGGTAGCAATAGTATGTATAGTATTATATTTTAAATTATATATTTTACATAAAGATCATACAGGAAAAAAATGAAAATAATTTGTCCAGCGTATTTCACTTTAGCTGAAGAATGTTGGCCCCTTAAAGGATGATTTCCTTTCGTAGGACAAAAAAAAAAAAAGCTTTTGATCTGAGGAAATTTGATCAAATCTAATTCCAAAAAACTTCCCCTCGTGACCTTGGATAAAGACCTGTTCAAAGCACTTTACCTCTTATGTGCAACCCTTTTTTTGAGTATGCAGCATCGGTGTACAACCATGTCCTTGTAAAAAAAAAAAGTATCAGGAGTGGGACCGAAGAGAGGGTAGAAACTGAGAAGAATGCGAGAATGAGGCCTCGTTTCTCTGGAGAACAAAACCAAGAGGAACTAAGATCCAAACATGCACAATAGTACGGGGTATGAACAATTTAGGCTCTATCACAGATGCAACAGGAAATCACACACCCAGATGAACCAATGAAGACAAGTGGAAGCAGACTCCATACTGGATCTCAAAAGCAGACGAGGTATAATCACGTCAGTTGGTCTAAAGTTAGGAGTGGGTACCAAGAGCTGGATCTCATCCCGACTTGACCGATTAATCGGATAACTACAGTGGTGAGAGCGTTAAAACACATGTCACATGTTCAATGCAGAGTTGAACACGTTTCTGCTTATGGCACTAGTGAGCATAGTGATGGAAGGCTCCTGGCTACCCCTCAGTGTGTGGTGGACTTCTAGGGCCCCCCACTGAGTGGATTCCTGGGGCTCCCCTGTGAGGCGGGGCTCCTGGGGCCCCCTGTGGGGTGGGGGTCCTGGGCCCCCCTGTGGGTGGGGGTCCTTGGGCCCCCCCACTGTGTGGTGGGCCCATGGGGACCCCACTGTGTGGTGGGCTCAAGGGGACCCTCACTGTGTGGTGGGCTCAAGGGGACCCCCTAACTGTGGTGGGCTCAAGGGGACCTTCACTGTATGGTGGGCTCCTAGGCCCGTGTGGTGGGCTCTTGGGGCCCCCCCTCACAATGTGTGGGCTCCTGGGGCCCCCCCTCACAATTGTGTGGGTTCCTGGGACACCCTCACAATTGCGTGGTGGGTTCCTGGGGCCCTCATATTGTGTGGTGGACTCCTGAGGCCCTCATATTGTGTGGTGGACTCCTGGGGCCCTCATATTGTGTGGACTCCTGGGGCCCTCATATTGTGTGGACTCCTGGGGCCCTCATATTGTGTGGACTCCTGGGGCCCTCAGTGTGTGGACTCCTGGGGCCCTCACACTGTGGTGCGCTCCTGGGGCCCCTCACTGTGTGGCGGCTCCTGGGGCCCTCAGTGTGTGGTGGACTCCTGGGGCCCTCAGTGTGGTGGACTACTGGGGCCCTCTGTGTGGTGGACTCCTGGGGCCCTCAGTGTGTGGTGGACTCCTGGGGCCCTCAGTGTGTGGTGGACTCCTGGGGCCCTCAGTGTGTGGTGGACTCCTGGGGCCCTCAGTGTGTGGACTCCTGGGGCCCTCAGTGTGTGGTGGACTCCTGGGGCCCTCAGTGTGTGGTGGACTCCTGGGGCCCTCAGTGTGTGGTGGACTCCTGGGGCCCTCAGTGTGTGGACTCTTGGGGCCCTCAGTGTTTTGGTGGGCTCCTGGGCCCCATGTGTGGTGGACTCCTGGGGGCCCTCAGTGTGTGGACTCCTGGGGCCCTCAGTGTGTGGGGACTCCTGGGGCCCTCAGTGTTGTGGTGGGCCCCCTGGGGCCCTCAGTGTGTGTGGACTCCTGGGCCCTCAGTGTGTGGTTTGGACTCCCGGGGCCCTCAGTGTGTGGTGGGGCTCCTGGGGCCCTCAGTTGTGTGGTGGACTCCTGGGGCCCTCAGTGTGTGGTGGGCTCCTGGGGGGCCCCTCAGGGGTTTGGGGGACTCCTGGGGGCCCCCAGTGTGTGGTGGGGCTCCTGGGCCCACAGCGTGTGGAGGGTCAAGGCAGCCCACAGCCAAACCCCTGGGTGCTATCCATCATTTCATGAATCATAAAAGTTGCAGAATTGGGAACTTGTGTTAATTTTTCAGGATGTCAGTACTGTACCAGGATTTTTTTTACTCCAGAATTTTTTCCGTTTATTGAATATAAAAATATCCTGTTGTGGTAATAAGTCTGTTCACTATGTATTTAGATTATGCAATATCGCTAAAGAGGATGATGTGCAGAATAACCACAGGGGAGTTGAATTACAGCTCTAGGTGTTTCGTGTTTCATCACACATCAGGAGCTTGCATATTGCGAATGAGTAGGAGTCCAGGCAGATTCGTTTTAAAGGAAACTATCCATTCTGATAGTGGTTAACCTGAGGAATCTGCCTGGGGCTCTCCTACCATTTCTGCAACCCCTGCGAGCTCCCATGTGTTGACTGCAATACGAAAGGCCTAGAGCATCATCAACTCCCCCATATTAATTTTGCATGTAATTTCATATTTCTTATTGTATATTTATTATTTACAAACGACTTATTTACTTAGACGAAATTACTCTGTGTACCTTGTATCAAATTAAATATTTACGGGGAACCCCCAAAAAATTTTCCGGGGGTTTAACCCCAGAGTTTTAAAGGGGAAGGGTAAAAATTTTCACACTGTCCCTTTTAAATTTTTTTTTGGGTTCCCCAAAAAAATTACAAAAAATACAAAGGGTGGAAAAAAACCGGGAAAATTTAAATAAAAAATTTAAGTGTGAAGCAATTTTTTTTAAACCCTTTTTTAAAAAAATTAACGTGAGGGAAAGAAAACAGTGCTAAAAACTATAAAGGGTGGGGGGGGATGTTGCTGCTCCCTGGTCATTTGACCGGGTGATGGCCGCACACGTACGAAGGAAGGGTGGAAATTACTCCCCTAACCCCATCACCCACTGGGGGAGGCGGATGTGGCAAAAAAGGGAAATTTACAAAAAATTGGCAAAAAAGGGGGCCAATTATAAAAATGGGATTTAAAAAAACAGTAAAGAAAATTTCTGAGGTTTGGATTTATATAAAATTAACTAAGCAATTTTTTTCCCCATTTAAAATCCCACGTCCCAAATGCCCGGGGGGGGGAAATTCCTAGTTTGGGAAAATTTTTTAAAATTTCCCTTTCTATCTTGTCCCAAAACTGAGCCCACGGAAGCCCAAAAGGGGATCATAAAGTACTTAAAAGAAACCCGGGGGGGGAATGTTTCAGTCCCGCCTTTAAATTGTACAAGGGGAGCAGCCCATGTTTTTCCGCATGCTTTTACTTTATTTTTTTAACAAGTCCAAAAAACTACCCTTTCCCGACCCTACTCAAGACAGAAGGGGTTACACCAATACTTTAAAGGGGTGGTGCCCCTAAACGTAAAACAAAAGGGCCCAAATTTAAAATTTTCCCATTGCAAACCCAAAAATATTCGAAAAAAACCTCGTGCCCCGGAGGGCTTTATTCTTTATAACGTCAAAAAAACATACTAAACCCCCCTCCCTTTTTGGGTTTTGGGAAAAAAAAAAAATAAAAGCACTAATGAGGGAAATTAAAAAAAGGGCTAAAAACCTTTGCTTTCCACAGCTTTTTGGAAAAATTTAAGGAATATCCGTGGGGAATTTTTATTGACCTAAAAAAAAGCGTTTGACACAGCACCTTTTGCGTAGCACTTTAAAACCCTTTGAAAAAAGCCCTTGAAAGCTCAGGGGGGGAAAGCCAAATAAAAGTTACGGGAAAGGGCCGGCTGGGGAAAGGGAAAAACCCTGCACCTCCTCCCCAAGTTATCAACAAGATACACAAAAAACAAACACTAATTTACAGCCCCCACAGGAAAGAAAAACTTACCCCCAAAAACAATGTGAACGCAGTGCGGGATGTCTTCAAAAGGGTTAAGCAAAACTGGAGATAAGAAACCCACCAAACCCCTTTGGAAACAACAAAGAAAGTGGGGCAAAAAAACCTTCATCCCTTCCCCGAGGGAATTTGGGAAAAGTTAGTTTTCGTATTCTCAAGTTACACGACGGGTTTCTCAAAATATCTCCCGGGGTTAGCCCAGGGAAATCCACCCCCAACAAACTTGACCACGGGTAAAAGAGGCCATGCGCTTGTTTTTTTTAAATTTCCTCCCTTTTCAAATTAGGTTTCAGTATGTCACCAAAAAAGGGACACAGCCTCATCAATCCCTTTTTTGGAAACTTTAGCTCATTCCAGAACAACCCTTAGCAAAAAACCAAAACTTCATTGTTTTGAAAGTGGACTTACCCCTACATGCCCAAAAATTTGCTTGGGTTTATACACTTCCAAATTCCCCACCACTACAGATACATACTAAAACCCCAACACCCAATTTCAGGAAAAATAAATAACCAAAATTAAAAACCTAGAAGATGATTAAACCATTGCCCCCGGGATTTAAACCCCCCTAATTTTACACACAATAAAAAATAAAAACCTTTTGGGGAAAAGTAACTGCCTTTACACACGCATCACAAGCTAGTTTTTCCCAAAACAATCCCTAAAATTTAAAATCAGTACTTAACTAAAACATTAGGCCCCTTAAGCAAACATTTATGATGACCTCCGGGCACCCCTTGAACCCACTAAAGAAAAAACCCTTCTCCTGCTATTCTTATGAGACCGGGTTTAAAAGCGGACCCAATGGGGTTATCCCCCTTCTACCAGGATACACAGAAATTTCCCAAACTGCGGCCCTTACCAAGTTGGAGGGGCTTTTGCAATCTTTTAAATCAAACCCCAAATTATCTTGTATTAGCACCATTTGCTTTAGTGATGAATAGGGAGAAACTTTTTTTGCTTTTTTTAAAACTGAAAAAAACCTTTAAGAGGGCCTAAACCCAATCGGGGGCCCATTT